CAAGTCTACTCCAGTGAATGAGAAGCAGTGCTAGTAGAGCATTCCTCTTCATATCCATTTTGCCGCAAACAAAACAAACCGCAACCAAAGGCAGCCTCTGCACAATCCACACAGTCGTCACTACATCAACAAGCCTCCAAACCACTTATTTTGTGCACAAATTAAATTCACTGTTGACCTTTCTGATGTTTAAGAAAGAGGAGGAGGTTCATTCTGGGAAAGAGGAACATCAACATCATAAATTTGCATCATGACATTAGCGAGGAGAGACCAGGACAACAGGCCATGTCAGACTTCACTAATGTCACTGTCACACTCTTGTCGCTTTCCTTCTTCCCGTCCTTTCTTCCTTCTTCCTATTAAACATTCAAATTCAGAATATGTTTTTGCAGGTCATAAAGTAACGCCAAGTTCCCTGTGTCATATGACCTCCACAGGACATTCCTATGAGCTCAGACCATGCCTCTACAAGCATATATTTTACTATGTAAAAATACACACTGACCAGCCTGTGTGTATTGCTATGGACCACCAGGGCTCATATTTGCATTTGGAGCATGTGTTCATAACACACCCTGTTCACACTCAAATTACTGGGTCTCATCTGAAAGGACTAAGTGGATATCACAACAGGCATCTCGAAGCTCTCTCAACAATATATACGAATCTTAGGGGTAGTTTTAGGAGTTTTAATCCTTTCAAATCATCTTAATTGTTTCCTGAGTGCAATTTGGACATATCTTAATTAAATTCCAAATACAGATTCAGGATGCATGCAGAGAAGCCAGCTCCTGAGACTTTTCTAAGAGGGAAATTAAATTAAAATGGAAGATCCAATAAGAGTGAGCAAATCTGAGACAAAAACAATCCAGAGAACGTCCGAATAAAACAGGCACAGTAAGAAATAGCGCCATATCTGGTGTCATAGAAGATATTTAATACAAAAAGTGTACCAATTTACCATCCGAAAATTGGTAGCTATCGGCCGATATTCGCATTGTTAACTTCCACTGGCCTATCAACAAATGAGACGACAGTCACCAATGACAGTGGCCGATGCTCATCAGTTTTGTTGCATTGGTTACTTGCAGTCGGACTCCGACAACAGTTGCAACACACCCAACTGCTGATTCGGAGAGGAAGCGACTGGCTGGACTCAACTCCAGCATGACATTAGAGGACAATGGGTGCTGTCTGCATATGTGGTTTGTTTTCACGTTTGCTGTCAGTGAGCGGCTGTCCAGCTCTGGGTCTCCCATCTTGGACGAAAATAGAAAAGACTGAGCTGCAACAAGGCAGAGATGCTAATATTTGTAAAGAAAAACATGCATCTTAACAAGAAGTAGGCTAAAAAGTACAACAAATTAAACTCATCTGCATCAGCTATCGGCCAAATGTTATTCTAAACATCGGTATCTGTCAGTGCATCCCTTAATACAACATTCTGTCAACTGATGTCCTCTAACAAGCATGTCTACTTAGAGTAGTCTAAATAAAACGGCTATATTTATCAGAAATGACCTAAATCTGAATTAAAATACTGACACTTTTGTCCCTGAGTGGACTGAGTTAACCAGACAGGATATGACCACACACTTTGTACAGCTCACGGATCCTTTAATCAACCTTGTTTGTCCCTGTGTGTTCTTGTTTATGCTGCAACCAGATGGCAGCTGAGTTCAGTGCCATGCAGATTATTGCTGACTTAACAAGTCCAGCGGCACAACAAGAATTACGGGAGATTGTTTTCATGCGAGTACAAGCTGGAAGTGAAAGCACTGCAGAGGTTTCTGTGCTCATTTTGGCAGCATCTTGATAACACTTTGAGCTGGGATTTAAAAAGACAAAGCAACGGGGTAAACACGGCGAGAAGAGGACATGTGCGACTGTGAGAGAGTGAGAAATGAGGAGGAGACGACCCAAAGGAATGAAAGTAGGAAGACGAGATGAGAAGAAAGGCCAGAGGTCAAACACCGCCCACTGCCTTGCTTTTTCTCTTTTCCATTTCCCACTCGCTCTGTCTCATCTTGAATCCCGCCTTTTGTAGTACTCTAATGCTTAAAAGTTTTCTCTATCACAAACCAATCTATCAAACACCTTCATCTCTTTAGTTTCACATGCAAACTTTGTTCAACAGCAGCACAATGAGGCATCTAATTCCTCGCTGTCTGGTTAGTTACGGCCTCACATCTTCCGCCGCGTCCACTCAAAGGTCAGTCTCCATTTCTGATAGAGACGCAGGCCTGATCTCAACTGACGCTAAGGACCTTAAAGTGTCACTCAGGATTTCACACCGCCGCCAAACAACTGCAGAGGAGCTGGGACAAGAAGAGGAGAGAGGGCAGAGGTGGGAGAGAAGGAGAGAGGCGAAGGATGGGATTTGAGACAGGAGGCGTTTTCCGCTGAGCAACTTATCACTGGACCAACAAAGAGCTGCGCTGGCCTGTGGGACATACATTATAATGCAGATGTTTCAGAGGAAGAAAAGAGGAGAAAATAAGCGTTCTTCCTGGGTAGAGACAGGAGTTCAAACTTGCGACCTAATAAACTCATGTAGCTTTCACTGCCTCACAAAATGTGGTTAAAGTAAACACACACACAGCTGGGAGGCTAATTAGCAACAAATGGCTTTTTCTCAGATAAAGTTAAACCATGCACAGTTGCATTTACACGTTACATGTAGTGATCAACACTCGCTTGTCTTCAGGTTGTGTTTACGAGATGTGAGTTAAACCCTAAAGTCTGGTAGAGCTTCTCTGTTTGTCACCGACACTGTGGACATCAGCGAGGAATGTGCAGCAGCTCTGAAGCTGACGGTGTTTAACCACAGTGGGAAAAAAAAATGTCCACCTGCAAACTTACACCCCCCTATTTTCGGACACAAACTCTCACACCCACCCTTGGGACACCCAGGCGACCCTGGCTGCACACACCCTTGCCTTCCCTCGGAGTGTGACACACTAGCCTCATTCTCTGACCCGTTTGGATCGCGGCCCAGAGGAAAAAAGATCGCCACCCGACTCTTCAGTCACTCTCTGTGAAGTCGCTCCTCCACACACACACACACACACACACACACACACACACACATGGGTGGACACTGAAGCATGAGATTGGAAAGCTATTGATTTGTTTTCTATATTAGACAAAAAAAGGACCTGCCCCCTCCCCTACACCCAACCAGCCTCCACAACTCTGCAGCTCCTTGCACGCGAGTGCTCGGTATAGGGGCAGATGTCCTCCCCAGAGGACTGGGCGAGCAGGGTGGGAGGAGGAGGACGGAGGGGTCCATTGTCTCCAGCACCTCTAAACCAAAGAGTTTGCTCTAAACAGTAATTATTCCCCCCCCACCCCTCCTCCTCTTCTTCTGCTCTCCTCTATCCCCATTTGCAGGCACCCCCAACTGCTGCCCTCAAGGCTCTAATTTGGGTCACAGGCCGCAGAATGGTATCTTAACACTCAGTCAAACCTACACCCGGCAAGAAGAGGCTGACACATGGGCCTGCCTTAAAAGATATAAGTCGATTTATTTTTTTTCTTTTGTCTAGAACCATGCACAAAAAAGTGAGTCACATTTAGCTAAACACATACCACAAATTAGACTTCTGCAGTGCCTGCATTTAAAGGAGCAGTGTGTAAGATTAAGGGGGATTTAGTGGCATCTAGCGGAGAGGACTGCAGATTGCAACCAGCTGAAACATCTCCCGGTTAGAATTCCTTCAGTGTTCAATGATCAGGAGGTTTTTAACAGGAGCCAAATTATCCACATTGGTGTTCTCCTCTCCAAAACAAACAGACCAGGTGGTTAAAACCAGTAAAAAACACTGAACAAAGTAGTTACACCTTAAAATCTGTGGTTTGCTGTTCGGCTCATTGCGGAGGGGCTGCTAACTATGGTGGCCAACACAAAAATACAAATGGCCTTAGAGCCAGTCAGTACGCTTATATAACATAAGAAAAAATCTAGTTATTGCACAAGTCCGACCAAAACTGGACTTTTAAAATACATGTTAACATGTTAGTCCGACTGAAATTGTACTAAATCAAAAGGTGGTCCCCCCTTTCAAAACAAATGGCCAGGTGACCAGGTTCAAAAATGCAAATGCATAAATGCAAATGGCCCTATTTAGAGCCAGTCTTTGGCATGTCCGATCTGGGCTACTGTAGAAACATGGCAGTGCAACATCCCCGTAAATAAGGACCCACTCCCTATGTAGATATAAACAGCTCATTCTAAGGTAACGAAAACACAACAATTCTTATTTTCAGGTGATTATACACTAAAGAAAAAATACTTATTATAGCATATTCCATTTCTGCCACTACATCCCCTGAAATCCTACACACTGGACCTTGTAAATGACACCCATAACTACCAACAAAGTAAAACATTTAACCACACAGAAAGCTGCGTGCACCATCAACTCAGCATCATCAGGAACTGAATCCTCGTAGTCTGCGAGAAAGCAAACACCCTCCATTCAACACCAGGGGTGAGAAAACAACCAGGAGACGCTGTTCATACAACTGTACCGCCCGAGAGACGGACGCTGCAGGGGCACTTCACACAGCGCTGTCAGCTGAGGAAAAAAATATCACACACACACACACCACACAAAAGAGCCACCAAAACAAACAGCCAAACCATCAATGGCTAGTAAAAGGAACTTATATTTATAAGTTGCTGTGTGAAGTTTTGACCAGACGGCACTTGAAAAGAACCACTTTTTTTGTGTAATTTTGCGATGCCACACATGATGTCTAATTCTGATCATCATCAGTAGCTTCCTTATTTCACCAAAGAGACAGGATATTATTCTACATGAAGATGATTTAAGCATGTTTGATGAGGTTTGTAGACATGCAACACCTCCTGACAGCAAAATCTAGTCCCCACCACATCATAGACTCACTTCACCTCCGGTAAAACTTTCAGAGTGTCTGTAATTTAACATGCTGGGAAACATCACTGAGTATATTTGAAGGAAGAAAAACCTTACCGGTAGGCATTGCGGCTTGGCTCCAATTCAACAGAAATTAGAGTGTGTTTTTTAAAAAGTGAGGCGCAGGTTTAAAAGGAAAGCAGGATTTCCCAAGCAGGTCACATATCCAGAGTATTCCAAAGAATATTCCCAGCAGAAGCCTGGAAAGAATTCCCTTAGATTTCCCAAACTGTCCCAGTCATTGTGAATCCTCTCTCCTGGAGCAAACGTGCAGTCCGCTTCTCCAAAATAAACACAGGAGCATACACTCTCAGGTTTTCTCCACACACTCTTCAGGCTGAGTCCTTCTCTCACTTCAGTTTGCTGAGGATCTCCTCTGTCTGAATGCCTCTCTCCCTCCCTCTCTCCTGTGGCAACACATCCACCGCCTGCATGTGTGTGTCTAAAAGTGTTCATGTGTGTGTTTGCATGTGAGTGTGTGTGTGTGTCAGAGTGAATGGCCTCTGCTCTCTCCTGCTCCCTCCCTGCTGGGTATTCCCCTCCCCTTAACTCCTCCTCCCTCTCTCCCACAGCAAATTACAAGGAGCTGGGAGTTCCTCCTCTCCTCTTTCCTCTCTTTCTTTCACTTCTTTTATCTTTTCCCCCTCTACTTCATTTCTGCCTCTTCTTCTCCTCTCCTCCCAAAAATCAAACTTTTAAGCTCAGTCTGCGACGCTTGCGGGGCTGGCGACCCTTTTGTGTGTGTGCGTCTGCTGCACGCTCAGCGGGGCAGCTGAACTGCTGCTGCTGGCGCACAGCTCCAGAGATCACACACGTACACACACTTTACAAGGAGGAGAGGAGGGGGTTACGGCTGATCAATAGGGCCGGGAGCCAGCTCAAACAAAAGCTCCTCGTCCACTGCGAGACACTGCACCGCTCATTGTGTCCGAGATCAGAGACAGGCTGCATAGATTGAGCGCACAAAATGTCAGAAGTGGGATTCAAGATGGACATGAACATCAGTGAGGATGGACACAGGTTCCCAAACTTTTCAACTTAAATAACTCTTTTTAAATCCATACTATGGGGAATAAACTGTTGACATGTTTTTAACAAAACACATCAAACTTTTCAATGCATCTGTCTTTAAAGGCACAGGCCAATTAGGTTCAGTTAACTCGTCGTCATCATCACAAGTATTTTGTGTTGAGCTGCATTAAAAAATTGAGATGTGGGACATTTAGGAGCCAGGAAGTGTTTGGTTAAAGACACTGAGTTGCATTTTGGTAACTGTAGGAATGTTTCTGGAGCTTGACTCATACAAAGGAGTGAAAATTAGGACGTCTCAGCCTCTGTGACCATCCCTTGATTTCAATATATGTCTTGTAAGTCCCCGATCTTTATAGAAGTGCAATACTCAATCCCTGGAGTGCCACTTTAGCGACAAGAACTTTGCTTAAATAAAAAACTACATCCACATTAATAAGTTTACATTTCAGAACAGCATTTTAAAGCAAAAACAATCTCTAGTGTTCACACAAGCGTTTTAGCACCATTTCAGATGATCTACGTCCATGTTAACACCCCTGAAAATGCATATCACATGACCATTCAAGTACACAGGGCATACGTATGCCGACTTAAACAGGAAGCAGGTTGTCTACTCTGTGGTTGCTTGCTTAGGTACAGAAAATACAACAAAAATGGCGAAGGCCAGAGATTTCCTAACTTGGACCGACAATAAGGTGGAACTGTAAGTGAAAATATCACATAAGTATAATGTGATCAAGAGGGTGGAAAACAGATTGGGAGTCGTTGCAAGGCACATATCAGAGCGTCTCCAGGAGCATTATCCATTGCTGGAGGAAGCCATGGCAGTGGGAAAGGAATAACATTACACACACAAGAAGGATGAACTCACAAAAGATACGTAGACCTAGCTTATAATGTTTTGGCTTGACATGTCCTGACTGATAAGATCCAATCGGAAAGTTAATGCAACCATCGTTTTCAAAAGTCTCAGTTTCCGCCCATCCAGACTAAAACGCAACCCCAGAGTTTTCAAACTAAAACAGGATCAGCAGTGTTTTCAAAGGTCTCCATTTTAGGGATTCTAAAATTCCGGGTTAGTGTGGACGTAAATGTAGCAAAAGATATGCTGTTCAAAATAAAAATGTATGAGTGTGAATGTAGCCTTGGTTAGTCAATGTATTACAACAGGAAATATTTAAGCAAGGACATAAGAATCCGAACAAGTATTCATTGACAACTTTTAATAGATTTACAATTTCTAGTCCTTCTCTACACCGAGTATAAAAACTTTTTTGGTTGATACCCTGCTCTATCTAATTGCCACTCCTGTCACCAGCTGCATGTATCTACAGGTTGTGACCAGACCACCCAAAGTTTCTTGTTTTAACTGAATACTTTTGAGGTCTGAGGAACTAAAATATCCAATAATTACAAGAGAAAAAGCAAAGAGTAGAGGACAGTTTGGAAAAATAAACACAGTCCATTTTGTTTTTATCCTAGGGCCTCTCAGATTCATGCTGTGACCCCTCATAGGTGTCCTGATCCCCAGGTTGGGACCCTCTGCTCTTAAAGTGTATAATTCCGGAAAGCAGTTATAGTTCAGGACAGGCCATGTGTCCCGCGAGGAAGACACACGTGAGACAATGGGCCCTCAGTCTCACGCACTAAAGCAAATGTGTTGACTATTTGTCGTCCCTCTTTAAGGACAGGGACTGGTCCCAGCAGCATGGGGTCCTGCTAACACCACCCCCTTCTCCTCAGCAATACAATAATAGAGACCCCCTAGACTACCCTCACACACACACACACACACACACACACACACACACCAGACCCCAAGTAGCACGACCCCTCTCTCTAATGGTCTGAGGGTCCGCTGACCCACGAAGCCCCTAAACCTCCACTCCCAAACCAAATACTGTCCACCTCCCCCTGCCACCTCCCCTCCTCACACACACACATACACACACACACACACACACACACACACACACACACACACACCATCCATAATGAGCACCTCTAGCTTGGCAAACACACAGTGGGAGCGTCTAAACTCCTCGGTTCAGCCAAGCACGACCCGTTGATGACAGAAACCTACAGCAGCAGTCCAGCTTATCTGATGCCCCCCGTGTGCTCCAGCGGTCTCCACGCCACTCTCTGCAGGAGATCGACCACTGAAACAATATTGTTCCTCTTTTACTGGATATGAAAATCGCTATATGAGCTGCAACACATGTAGACACAGTGATTTAAAGGGGGATGAAAGGGGAGACGTTGAGGCTGAGGGTGCTGATAAAAATCAAAGATTAGCTCCATGTTTTGGCTGCAGATTTGATCCAGCACGAGAAAACCTTCATTAGCAGTCTATCTTTTCTTTGAAGAGAGAAACCTTGCATCATCTTGAGGTTGGTGCGCCAATGGTGATAATTTCCATTACTGATATAATCTGTTGATTATAATTTATTAATCATCCAGTCTGTGAAATGCCTGATGTCTTCCTTGGTTTTGGCTGTCTCGAGGAATAGTGCAACATTTTGTTAAATGCGCTTGTTCACTTTCTTGCCAAGCGTCAGATGAGGACGTTGATACCAATCTCATGTCTATACACTAAATATGAAGCTGGAGCCAGAAGGTGGTTAGCTTAGCTTAGCATCAAGACTTCAGTGGCTTCTAGCGGTGAGTATTTGCAGACTGAAACCAGCTGAAACTTCTCCCATGTGCCAAGTGTGAACCTGTGGTTAGGATTCCTCAGGAGCCGAATGATCCACAGAGGTCTCCCTCTCTCCAAAACAACCACCTGACCAGGTGATTATAACTAGTAAAAGTAACACATTAAAAATCTTTTATTTTCCTTACGCTGTTTGGCTTGTTGCAGTGGGGCTGCTAACTATGGTGGTCAACAAGAAAATGCAAATTACCTATCAAGAGACAGCCAGTACGTTTACAGGACATTAGTGAAAATCAATATGTGTTAGTCCGACTAAAACTGCAGTTTTAAAATACATGTAAACATGTTAGCCCAACTGCAATCGTACTAAATCGAATGTCTCAAAGTCGGACTTACAAACCAAGTTAATGTGATTGGGAGTCGAATTACTCAGCATGTGTACAGTCAATCAGACCCAAACTGTTCGAGGCGCTCAGTGCATTCTCCACAGGTTCCACTCACGCTTTGACCCCCAAGTCGAAAGCATTAAATGCGTAACAGAAGAAGAAACCGGTAACAATATGCAGAAGTCTACATTCAGAGTCGTGCATTATTAGACAGACAAAATGTTCAGAGCTGTAAAGTTGTCCACCATGGTACCATTTTACCACTAGCTAACCGTAGCTAACTTGTTTGCCCATTGTTTGCCCTGTGACGAAATGGGTCAACCGGAAAAAGGTCCAATACTAACAAGGTGAAAGGGGGCACATCGCCACCTGTCGTAGCAGAGTCGGACATACCTCTGTCAATAAGCTGATTCCCCTCCCGTGCTTGTAGACTGGGAAAAAGACAGTAGTCTGATGAAATGGCCTAGTCGAGCTGTAACCATAGCTTGACGAAACTGACATTCAGAACCTCTAGCCAATGTAATCTTGCCCATGTCTGTAATTTAATTTGTTTTGTTTTTTTACGGTTTATTACTACCTTCCCCACTGTGTGTGTTCATGTACCGTCCCCTTAAAGACATACTACTGCGTGAAGTCACGAGACTCCGTCCAGTCCACAACCTGAAAGCAACATGGAGGAGAACTCAAACACCGAGCCAACTGAGCAACTTCAGCAGCTTGTACCAAAGAGAAATGGTCTGTCCGTCATTTGGACACATTTTGGCTTTCACAAAGACGACACTGTACAGAAAGAAATCAAGTGTAAACACTTCGAGAAAACCATTTCAGCAAAACCACCAATTAGTTTCAGCACTGGGCTCAATCACATTACCGAATATGAACAGTGCACAGCTCAAAAAACAGAAAGAGTCTGACAAGCGCCCAGCAACAAGTGGCTCCACAAAGCAGCTCTCGATAACTCAAGCATTTACAAAGGCTACACAATATTCAAATGATCAAAAATTCAATAAATAACCATGAACAGTTCATCTGTGTGTGTGTTTCCTTCAATTATTTTAAAATTACAAGATAAGATTTGCACTCCATCAGAAAAAAATATCCTAGCTTCAATAGTTGAGCATATTTACAGCACAAACCTTGTCAGTGAACTATGATGGCAAAAACAAAATAGTCGTGCAGTTATTGCAATCAAGGTAAAATGTTTGATCAATCATGATGTTAATTTGAGGTCATACCACCCAGCCCTACCCTGGACCTTTAACTGATTATCAAACTTTAAATCGACTTATAGTTTCTGCACTACTAGCGGTCAAGTCAATAACATGTTTTTTCCCTCTGCAGTGCTCCCAGTGCGCCACACTTCTCAACACCGGCACCCTCTCTCGGCTCTGCTCCAGTGTCATTCCCCTCTCGCCTGTCATCCCTCGCCACTCAGAGAGCAGCTCTCCCGACACACCTCCCTCCTCTTCTCAGGGATAAAAACAAGCTACACACAGACAAACACCCTCCCAAACACCCTCCATGCACCCAGAGTCAGAATTGATGGTTTGAGAGTTTGCAGTGTTGCCAAGATGATTGGGAGCCATAGCGCCGTGGTGGTCACTATGACGACAGCGAGGCATTCATCTCCAGGGCAGAGTGGCATGTGGAAAGACAGTGAGGGGAAAAAGAGACAGAGGGCTGGAGAGAGGGAAGAAAATGCTTATTGTCAATAAACCACTCCGT